TTATGCCAACTCTGCAAGGTAGGAATACCAAAATACCCACAAACTAAAAAGGCACTCAGTAGGATATTGAGTCAAGGACCTTTAGTACCATCAACCCTCCTGTTCCCCAAACTAACCAAGCTGTTTCAAAATTTTATATTTTATTAAATATGCTGCAAGAAAAAGACAAAAAGGCAAGTTTCTAAACAATTTCAAGTCACAAAAAACAGTTACAATGTGTAGAGCAAATAAGCATTCAAAAAGATTAAAGCCTTGTGGCAAGAAGATTTCCAGAACAGTTCCCACAGGAAAGTAAGAAAGCTAGCTAACTTAGCTGACTTGTTCAATCACCACTCTTCCTCTGTCTAAAATAACCTGACACATGCTTTAGTTACATCCCGTTTGGATTACTGCCTTTGAAGACGGTTTGGAAATTTCAGTTGGTGCAAAACTCTGCAGCCAGACTACTGACTGGGGCCAGCTACCGGGAGCATATAAGGCACCTATTACAAGAACTGCGCTGGCTACCGTCTGTTTCTGAGCCCAATTCAAAGTGCTGGTCATTATAAAGCCCTATACAGCTTGGGTCCAGGCTACCTAAAGGACCATATCTCCCTACATGCGCCTTCTCGGCGATTAAGATCATCAGAGGAGGCCCTCCTCTCAGTCCCATTGCCAGCACAAACACAGCTGATGAGGACATGGAAGACGGCCTTCTCTGTGGCAATTTATAATGATGATAATTGAGAGTAAGTTCTTAACACATAATAGATATTTTCTAGAGCAATTTATACAGATTTTCTTTGTATAGTTGTTTAGCCATTTCCATCTCCACATTTTCTATCCTGTCTATAACAATATCATATCTAATGCATGTTCATTATGTACTATTTGTTTACCCCAACCTTATATCTAGCTTCAATTTACCTTAAAACCCCCACCATATTATGCCTTTACCCTGATTAGTGCTTCCTTATTTCAGTTTAATTCTCTTTTTAAATATATAAGATATGACCCTTTGCAATTCCAAAAGTTAAGTATATACAGTACCTGCTTTCCAACTTTGAGAGCCCACCTTCCTGTTTCTCCCTTTTTCATCTTTCTAAGTAATTCCTTCTCTTAATCTTTTTCTCAATTTTTGTTTCTGTCTTTCTAAACATTCTGCCATCTTTTGTGTCCTTTGAGGCCATTTTATGCATTTGGTTTATCTCAAATAGATCTTTATACACTTGGTGAGGAGGAACTAAAGAACCTTGTAATGAGGGTGAAAGAGGAGAGTGCAAAAAACGGCCTGAGACTCAACATCAAAAAAACTAAGATCGTGGCCACTGGTCCCATCACCTCTTGCAAAATAGAAGGGGAAGATATGGAGGCAGTGACAGATTTTACTTTTTTGGGCTCCATGATCACTGCAGATGGAGACAACAGCCATGAAATTAAAAGACACCTGCTTTTTGGGAGAAAAGCAATGACAAACCTTGACAGCATCTTAAAAAGCAGAGACATCACCTTGCCAACAAAAGTCCAAATAGTCAAAGGTATGTTTTTTCCTGTAGTGATGTATGGAAGTGAGAGCTGGACCATAAAGAAGGATGACTGCCAAAGAACTAATGCTTTTGAATTGTGGTGCTGGAGGAGGCTCTTGAGAGTCCCCTGGACTGCAAGGAGAACAAACCTATCCATTCTAAAGGAAATCAAGCCTGAGTGCTCACTGGAAAGACAGATCCTGAAGCTGAGGCTCCAATACTTTGGCCATCTCATGAGAAGACTCCTTGGAAAAGACCTTGATGTTGGAAAAGTGTGAAGGCAAGAGGAGAAGAGGATGACAGGGGACGAGATGGTTGGAGACTCCTCTGGTGGCAGTGGAAAAGAGGGTTGAAAAATAAATGTCACACCTGAAAGTAAACCTGGGTTGTGGGGAGAAACAAACAGGGGAACTGGGTTCGTGACAGACAGTGTCATCGAAGCAACCAACATGAATTTGACAGAACTCCGAGAGGCAGTGGAAGATAGGAGGGCCTGCCGTGCTCTGGTCCATGGGGTCACAAAGAGTCAGACATGACTAAAGGACCAAACGACGACGGCCTTTGCAGAATGTTCAGTCAGTAATCCTCCCACTCCCATATGGCTTTATAAATTGCACCCCACCTTCCACCTCCATTTTGGAAGGCAGGTTGTATAAGAAAATGCTGTGGTGCGTTTTTGACAGATGCACACTGTTGCCATGGTAAAGATGGCCCCATTTCAAAAATGATCCTGGCCTGCCAAATCTCTGCCTCTTTCCCAGTTTATATACTATCTCATATGGCAAAATCTGCCATGTGGAGAATTTTATCACATGCCACTGTTTGTCACTACTTCACTATATGTAGGAACGGTGCATGTGTATGTACAGCCAGAACCACTATTTCCAGGCCTCTTACCTAGAAACCTCACCTACGTCCTCAAAGAGAAAGAGAATTCGAAACAGCCATAGAACATTCAAGGCCATTGATTCTAGGCATTTTGCCAGTGCCTTAGATAGCTGTTACACATAACATAAACAGGTTTGTTTTTCCAGAGTAGTTGTCAGTAGTGTTTTCAGGAAAAAGTTAAGTTTTAATACAGAACTTCCTTCCTTGTTTTTCCAGAGTAGTTGTCAGTAGTGTTTTCAGGAAAAAGTTAAGTTTTAATACAGAACTTCCTTCCTTTAAGTATAATTAAGTGACTAATTAATGTCTAATTTATTTTCCTTGGGTGTCCCTCCATCTCCTCCTCTCTCCAGCTTCTCTGCAGTTCAATCAATGATGATGGAGAGCTATGAGACGCTATTTCTGCTGTAAGAATTGTCTTGTCCAGGGATAGTAAATAGATAGTTTTTAAAGATATTTCTCACCTGTTTGTAGCACAATGATAATTAGGCTATTGCTTCTTCATACCAATGATTTGCAAGCAAGCTAGTTCAGCTGCTTGCTTCTGCCCGCTGGTCGATTGGGGAGTTTCCTGGAGCAAATGTGGGTAACCGCCATTCCCCATGATCAACAGGCTTCTCCCCCATTTCACCAGCTCTTCGGGGTGGTTTTAACCCCTTGGGGGGTCCCAACAGGTCAGAATTCAGCCCAGGGGACGGAGCCCCGTCCTTCTGCTACTGTCTCGTCGCAGCTTCAAGCTGGAAGTCTCCACCATCCCTTTCTAGGCTCTTAGAGGGGATGCTCCAATCAGGCACCAAATCACCCCAAACCTTCTAAATTGGAAGAGAGTAACTCCCCCCTCCCTTTTTATACAGCTGAAACCATTCTTTGTTAATTAGCTGTGTGCTAGGACCTGAGCAGCCTTGGGGATTCTTCTCTCACATAGTGATAGAATCAGATAATTTGGCCTCCCAATTAATGGGGACTTTCTCCCCCCTCTCCTGGGCTTCTCCTCCCAGACACAAGTTAACAGGCCTGCATTTCAAAAGGGGAACCAAAACTGTGATCCCCTATTTTACCAGTTTCTTGACAACATGGTTTTGCATACCTGCATGTTGTTAAGTGTTTGAATACCACTTTATAGCTGTCCACTTAGCCAACAGGAAAATAATTATAGTAAGGTATCTGGTAAAAGTTTTAAACATTGTAGAAAAGCTAACTTTTAAAAAACAGAACAATGAAGTGGCTCAAATACTCCTATACTGTTAATATAAGAATATTGAATTAATTTATTTTAGAGTAACACACACAAATATTATGTTTTAAGTTGATGCTGCATTTTCTTCCTTTAGTCTGTAAAAGCTATCATATGTCTAAATGCTACCAATAATGTTTCTTATTAATGAAGTTAGTAAAATCAAGAGAAAACTGGAGTGACTTAAATACTTCTGTAATTTTGATAAATCCTGAATTTATTTATTTTAAAGAAATAAAGTATACAAATATTATGTTTTAAGTTCATGTTGCACTTTTTCATTTAATGTGTAAAATTATATACAGTGGTGCCTTGCTTGACAATGTTATTTTGTTCCAGCGAAATCGCTGAAGCGCGAAAACATCGTCAAACAAAATGAAAAAATCCCATTGAAACGCATTGAAAACCCGTTCAATGCGTTCCAATGGGCTGAAAAACTCACCATCCAGCGAAGATCCTCCATACGGCAGCCATTTTCGGTGCCTGTAAAGTGAGGAATCCGTCCTAGAAAACAGCGGGGGGGGGGCATTTTGAAAGCAGGCGGCCATTTTGAAACCCGACAATCAGTTCTTTGCTGATCGTCATAAAACGAAAATCGTTTTTCTAGAGCAGCTAAGCAAAATTCCCCCATTTAAACCATCGTTTTGCGATCACAAAAACATCAACGTAATGCGGATTCGTCGTAGAGCGGGGTAATCATCCAGTGGGGCATGACTGTATTTAAATGCTATTAAAGAAGTTTCTTCTCAATTAAATTAGCTGTATAGCATACAAATTTGAACTGCTTCTTGTGCTAGCTTTGCTGAATCATACAGATTCAGACATTTATCTGAATAACCTCTAAAATAAGAATAGCATGAGAGAAATGTGGATTGATAACGACTGGAATTTAAATGACTATACTTCAAAAGAGTATGTTGAGGCTTTGCAATTATTTGTGACACATTATCTTTCTCATCTTCCTGTCAGTTCAACAATAGCTGTCGTGGATTATACTATTAAGTACATAAAGCTCATTTTTATCGATCCTCTACAATACTTTTTATGGTAAACTATTATAAGATTTTGTTTCTGAGTAGTAAACTGTTAGCTTACAGGAACGCTTTCATGTGCATGCTCCCTTTATTCTGAGTAAAGCAGAGTGTCAGAAGTGTAGCAATGATTTTAGAAACATTCTTGAAACATCAAAAATACTTCTGGACACTAGTGACAACTATATAGACGACACACTGAAGTGCGATTAATCAAATATAGAAGTTTTTTATTTGCTTCTCATGGAATGACATAAGTGGGTGGGGAGATACAAACTCTCAACCCATACCATCCTATACCCATCAGTCTTGTCTGATTTCTAAAGCTATACAGGATCAGACCTGGTTAGTGTTTGGACAGGACCAATATGGAATACCAGGGATCTTCAAGTAGACCCAGGAAAGACTCCTGCCTGAAACCTTGAAGATATGCTGTCAATCAGAACCAGCAATGCTAGGTTAGACAAACCAATGGTTTATGACTCAGTGTAAAACTCTTATTTTACTATGATACACTCGTGAAAAACACTAGGAATGTTTCCACAACACGAAACCATAATTTAGTATTGCATCCAAATATCAATAGTGGGGAAAAAGCCTGATGGAAAAATGAAAGTCACAACAAAGCTAAACTGGACAAATGGATTAAATACTACTTGCTTGGGTAGTCACTATTAGTATGTAATTGCTCACGGTTTAAATTAGTGTCATATATTTTACTTTAGCATGCAAAAACATGGCAAATAATGTCATTCTATCCAGATGACACTAAAATTTGTATTAATATTTAACTTTATTAAACACTGTAAAGAACAGAGATTCATTCTATAAGAAAGAATGTCTCCTACTGAAATCTAGTCCTGAAAGAATTTTTAACAAAAGAGGACAGGAGTACTTCAAGAAAAATATTAAATGTTGTCTAAGTATGTAAAATATACTTGGCTCACACAAAAGCTGATAACAAACATTAAATTTATGTTTCTTAAGCACATTTAATCTAGTTCCTATAAACACCTGAATAGCTGCACCCATTTGCTTGCACTTGCCACAACCAAAATAGGAAGCAGCTTTAATTAGCTCTTTATATTTTCTGGAGCTGCCAACATAGAAAAGTGGTTCACAGCTTGTAGCTTAATAGTTTTCATAGAAAAAAAGAGGTAAAAAGATTAGATCCATATTTTCTAGATGTCTGTAGTCCAATCTGCCTTTCCAATTCATACTCCATTATTGGACTACCTTTCCAATTCATACTCCATTACTGTAAAGTTTAAATAAGCAAGAACCATGAATCAAACATTCATTTTATATTGGCAGCAATGTTCCTGAAGCACAACACAAACAATACATTGTTTACAGCCCAGAAGCCAAAACTCTGCATTTACACAAGCTACAGGAATATGAACAGAAACTGAAATTTGGCTAAGACAATCTTATTTATCTAGTTCGTTTAATTTCCCTTTAGGCTAATTAACTGCTATGTATGACCTTTAGCTTTGGCAGTTTCCAATCACTCGATGCACTAAGTTTTAAGAAATATACAAATAGGATTGATTACTGATTCATGCATTATGAAGAGCACAATCCAGTGCCATTTTTAAGGCTGGAATTACATCCCATAATAAGCCGATTAGACTACAAATGAGATATTATGCACACAGCCATCACACTATAATAATGTTGATGCTGCCATATCTACATTAAGCTCAAATAAAGACTCAAATATATCATTTCAGATGGATTCTGAACCTTGCCAAAACTATTTATGTTATATCATTTGAATTAAAAGCATATTAAATGGATTCATTAGAAAATTCTCCTCTTTGCTTTGCTTTTTTCCAACAATGTCTACATCCTTAGGCTAGAGAACAATTTTTATAATAGGTGTAATTAATCAAGAAGTCTTGACTTAAAGTTAAGAAGAATTGTTGCCTAAATGATTGAAACACAAAAACAGTATAAATCTTTCTATATCCATCAAATCTTATGTTTATACAGGTAAAAGTACTGAACTGAGCAATGGTAAAAACCTTCATTTTTAAGTAAAAAGGAAGCACAAAAACCGCCACCGCCACCACCCCATTTCATACATTTAAGATACAATAAAAATCTTCCTGGCTGCCCTCCAACAACAGGAACAGGAACAGTCATTAATGGTAAGGAAAGGCTATACTCTCAGGTAGTAAACAAAGGGAATATGAACGATCTACTTGCAAGTGGGGAGGGGATGAGCAACAGAACAATTTTAGTATGGTATTCCAAACTCTGGCATAGATGGAAAGACAATTAGATCACCCTTTTTATATTCCACATTTTGTGTTTTTTTATATATATATGGGTGATCCACACATGCGCGGAGCCTTGTCAGAATATTCCAGAGCTTCTGCGATAGCAAAAAGATACATTGGTGCAGATCCCTCCCCCATAGTAAATGTACCTTGGTGCCAAGGCTCTCCCTTCAGTTAAGTCAACCGCCCCATAAAGAAAAGGACGTGGCAGTGGGGAGGCTGGGTTGGGATGTGTGAATCACAGAGGTCCACTCAAAGAACTACAATTACAGGTAGGTAACTTGTTCTTCTTTGTAGCCTCTGTGAATCACACTGTGGGTGACTAATAAGCTAGCTTACTCGGAGGAGGGTGTCATGCCAACGTAGACGATAATACAGCATATCCAAAAGCAGCATTGGATTTCTGCTGAACGTCCAACCGATAGTGGTTGATAAACATGGACCACTGTGACCATGTAGCAGAGGCGCAGAAGTGAGCAAAGGGAATCCCTCAAAGAAATGTCATAAATGTTATCAACACTCTGGTGGAATGAGGGCGAATACTATGAGGTGGTGGAACTTGAGCAAGCTGATAAGCTGGATGGTAGACGCAACCCACCTGGATATTCTCTGCGAGGTAACTTGGAGACCTTTGGCAGGAAGTTGGTAGCTGATGAAAAGTCTAGCTGATCATCTGAAAAATTGAGTGCGGGCTATATAGAAGGCTAGAGCCTGTCTTACATCCAATGTATGGAGAATCCTTTATTGAGGATTAGATGGAGTAGGAAAAAAAGACGGAAGAATCAAGGGCTGGGATAGATGAAACTGGGAGACAACCTTGAGCAGGAAGGAGATATCTACAAAAAGTTTAACTTTATCAGGGTAGAACTGGATATAAGGGTAGTTAGACCTCAAGGCTAGCATACTGTGCTGACATGACAACTACCAGGAATGCCATCTTAAAGGTAAGTAATTTGAGGTCGGTTGATGCAAGGGGCTCAAACGGGCCCCTTCAAAGGTGTCGGAGAACTAATGTTGATGACCACTGAGGGGGTGGAGGACATATGTCAGGTCCTTTGAGGCAATGTTTCAGAGTAGTCTGAAAAACTTAAGCTGTCGGAGAGGTTGGTGGTTGATAAACCACAATCGCCGAAAGGCAGACTTTGAGGGACAAAAGAGAAAGGTCCTTAGTTTTAGTTGCAATAGAAAATGGACAGTGGTAAGACAAGGGTTGGTTGAAGGTAGTGATGACACTGCAGTGAATGATTTGAACTTTTTCTATTTATACATGTAGGCCTTCTTAGTTGAGGGTTTCTTCACATGGTGAAGGACATTCATCAGAGAGGCAGAATCCTCCACACTGTGAGATGAAAGGCAGGGAGATCTGGGTGGAGAATTTGATTTCTGTCTTGTGTAAGCAGGTGAGGCAGGTGGGGCAGGTGATACATGTCAGACAACAGCCGGTGGAGAATCAGGAACCACGGCTGTCATGGCCACCACGGAGCTATTAGGAGAACGTTGGGTTTGTCTTGTTGCAGGTGGCCTATGACCTTGTGGAGAAGTGGGAACTGTGGAAAAAGGTAAGTGAGTGATTTGGGCCAAAGGCCGACAAATGCATCTTGCCAACTCCTGTGTGGGAGCAGTAACTTTTGCACTTCTGGTTCGTTCAGGAGGCAAAGAGGTCAATGGTGGGTGTGCCCCAGCGTGTGGTTTCAGCCACACAAAGAGAAGACTACACATTTTGAGAACCAGTTTAAACTATACATCCCAGAACGAAGATGAATCCCAGATGTTCTAATTATTATTGTTTTAACATTTTGATTTACTGCTGCCTGAAATTATAAGTTAATTTATGTTCACATTTCAGCTGCAGAAACAAAACTTTTAATTGTTAAAGATGTGCAATATTGAAAGTATACTGATTATTTAGAAAAGAAAGGTTTTCATATACTGATTATGTAAATGAAGATGGTGTGTGCATTGTCATAAACCTAAAAACTGAATCACAAATTGTCCAGATGTTTATTTGTTCCATTTAATCCTTTTGCAACTGTGCTCTGAAGCAGCACCAAATATATATTTATAGTTGTTGTTTTTTTAAAATGGCCAAAATCCTATTGCCCTTGTGTAAGGTTTGTGTAACAACTAACTGATGAAATTTTGGGGCACATTTTAGTATTGTGGCTTGTCATGTGCCAAACTGCATAACTAAGACTTGCTACAGCACCCTGTCAAGTAGCTATAGTTGGCTGTGCAAGTTATGCAGATATTTCATAAAGAGCTTTAAGATTCTGGACACTGCTTTTAAACCATATGACCCTAGACTAGTTGGACCATAAGTCAATGTTCCAGTGACATACTTAGGCTAAAGTAACAGGTCTTCTTCTCTCCCCACCCCCAACAGCTTTCTGCAGCACCTGGAAGTCTGGTTCAAAGAATTCTAAGCACTTAGGTCAAGAGTCTCACGGCACACAGTAGACCAGTTGCTTAGGGAGAACAGCCTCTCCGATGAACAGAACTTTTTCCATCAGCAGAACACCACCACTGATCTTATTTCCATCAGCAGAACACCACCACTGATCTTATCTTCTTCATAGAACAGATTGAAAAAATAAATAAATAAGGAATTTTTTAAAAATCTAAGAATTTATTTGACTTTTATCCCACTTTTTGATCCTAATGGGGGCCTAAACCGAGATACAAAACATTTAAAATCTATAATTCATTAATGATTCAGTACATAAAATATTTTAGCTCTCTAGGAGTCCGCTGCTTGTAAAAAGGCAAGATACAATGGTATTCTTTATTATTTGCAATTATTCATTTTAGTGTATGAGAAGACTTTAGAACTTTGCTGAGAAGTTTTAATTTCACATCAGTATATCAGAGTGAAAATAATTATCTGCACCATAGATGTGCTGATTGTATTTTGTTCTATTTTAAAATGCAGTTATACAGATTCAAATAATAACAGAGCATTTTAATTCACGTAATAGCACATATCACCTGTCTCTTCGTCAATGACACATTTAAAAGCATCTTTTTATTAGAAACACAAATCAATACACTCAAGGGGCTGCAATAACTACTTTAGGCAATTTGTATTATTATTTCCTTCCTTATCTTCTGACTTTAAGTAACTTATTATTATCAATGGCATGAAAATGGCAACCTGTCACAATTGATTTTTTTGAGCCCAAGATTTTTTTTCTTTTCTGATATAATTATCTTACTGCTAAATAAAGGTATAGTTTATAAAACGCAATCTCAAGTTTCAACTCATGATAGCTGAGATGTCTTTTTAATAGCTCTTTGAAAGAGTATTGCCCAAGATTAGCAGATATCTGCATAGATTGAAAACGAAAAACCCCACGGTTTTAAAGACACTTTATCAATAATTAAATCATAGTAACACCATTTGGAAGACAGGGGAGACTGCCTCATTCCCACCTCCCTAAACAGGTATTTGGGAATTGGAAACCCCAAAGAACCCCATGAAACACTAAAGAAAGACGATAAAATAAGTTAAATAGTGTGTTTCACTGGAGCATTATGTAGCTGTGCATATACAGTATATTTATTGTCAATCAAGGTCCTAATATCATAAATATAACTTAACTGAATGTAAATAATGAGACTGCAATTGTAGCAATTTACTATAAGTTCTTTGAGATATCAGCACCTACCGTATTTTTTGCTCCATAAGACACCCCCCCCCCCCCCAAAAAAAGTGGGGGGGAGTCTGTGCGTCTTATGGAGCGAAGGTGGCGATTTCACCCCCATTGGCCCTGTGGGGGGAGCCTCCCAAGGGTCCGAGTGAACGTTCCAGGACCCTTGCGGGGCTCCCCCCATCCCCCACGGGGCCAGTGGGGATGAAATCGCCAGCTTCCAGGACCTTTTCTGAGCATTTCAAGCCTCACAAAAGGTCCTGGAAGCTGGCGATTTCGACTGCGCTTGCTCCGTGGGGGGGGGAGCGTTGCAAGGGTCCGAGTGAGCCTTCCAGGACCCTTACGACGCTCCCCCCACCCCCACAGGGCCAGCACAGGCAAAATCGCCACCTTCTGGGACTCCTTTGAGGCTTGGGAAGCCTCAGAAGAGTCCCTGAAGATGGCGATTTTGCTCCCTCTGGCCCCGTGGGGGGTGGGGTGAGCCTCCCAAGGGTTTGAGTCTGCCTTCCAGGACCCTTGCAACGCTCCCCCCACCCCCCACGGGGCCAGCACCAGCAAAATCACCACCTTTTGGGACTCTTTTGAGGCTTGGAAAGCCTCAGAAGAGTCCCTGAAGGTGGTGATTTTGCTCCCTCTGGCCCTGTGGGGGTGGGGGGGGGGGCGCCTCCCAAGGGTCCAGGGCTGCCTTCCACGACCCTTGCGACGTTCCCCCCACCCCCACAGGGCCAGCATGGGCAAAATCGCCACTTTCTGGGACTCTTTTGAGGCTTGGGAAGCCTCAGAAGAGTCCCTGAAGGTGGTGATTTTGCTCCCTCTGGCCCTGTGGGGGTGGGGGGGGGGGCGCCTCCCAAGGGTCCAGGGCTGCCTTCCACGACCCTTGCGACGTTCCCCCCACCCCCACAGGGCCAGCATGGGCAAAATCGCCACTTTCTGGGACTCTTTTGAGGCTTGGGAAGCTTCAGAAAAGTCCCTGAAGGTGGTGATTTCACCCCCTCTGGCCCCATGGGGAGGCAGGGTGAGCCTCCAAAGGGTCCTGGAACACACCCTAGTACCCTTTGAAGGCTCCCCCCACAGGGCCAGAGGGGCCTAGGGTGTGTTCCATAAGACGGACCTCTCCATAAGGCTCACCAAATTTTTAGGAGGTGAAAATAGATTAATTTTTCCCTGTTTTCTTCTCCTAAAAATTTGGTGTGTCTTATGGAGAGGTGCGTCTTATGGAATGAAAAATACGGTATTTTTGTCTATACAGTACTTCAATTTCCACAAAAATATCAAGAACCATTTTTAGAATGATTAAAGTGATGTACCTCTTCTTATATATAAACTTATATCCTACCCATTCTGTTTATGAAAAATCAGGCACAGCTAAGAGCAATTGAAACAAATCATAATTAAAATAGTCGCCACCCCACAACAAAAGGCCCAATAAGAAGACCAAACAGATACAGCAGAGAAAATCCAAACATTAGGTAAGACTTCCAACCATCTGACAAAACAAATGCCCACCTAAACAAGGTGTTTGCCTCACAGTGGCTGTTTATATGACAATATATGAGGCTAACCTTTTCTTTATTCTTTAAATTTTATGTCAATGAAAGGGGAAAAAAGAAATCTATACTGACATTATTTCTAATCAAACCAACCTTATTCTTTGGATTGGAGGTGTTCATTACACTTCGAGTCTCTTTTCCAGTATAAATAACAACACCGATTACTGTTCCTGCAAATAATTAAGATGAATATTTGTATGAAAATGTTATAATGGGAGCCATAGCTCAAATTTTAAAAGGAAACATAAATGGGCAGAAAGCTATTTCAGTACTTAACATAAGGGGGGGAAAAACCCCTCTCTTTTTAGAATCTTCAACATTACATAGCTACAACCAAATACCATGGCCTTGTTCCTATTTCATGTGTTACTTCCTTATCCACTCCCATCTTTTGAGAAATCTAGCACAGCTGGCACATGTATCAATTGCTTCAGGCGAATGAACAAAAACATGGAATAACTTCAGTGGAAAAGTTGTGGAAGATACATAGATACATCAAGAGAAAATAGGGGGATTTAAGCACTTGAAAAGCTTTTTTATAAGACCACTTTAAAAAGAACAAGTAACTTATCCATAACTGTTGTTCTTTGAGCTGTCATCTGTGAATTCACACAAATGGGGTTTTCTAGAGCTCAAAGCAAAAAGCCTATTAGGGCAACCCACTCCACTGTGCATGACCTTCACCTTGCGGCTGGACCCTGTGTCTGCTGCTATCCATGAGTGAACAAGCACTGCAAACTGAAGTGAGGATTGGTGAGTTGTGTGAATTCACAGATCACCTCTCAAAGAACCAATGTTACAGGGAAGTAACCTGTTCTTTGTCATCATCTCTGAGAATCACATATGTGGGTGACTTACCAGTTCACTTATCTGCTGGTGGGATGTCATGCCGACACAGATGAAATTACTGCTCTGCCAAATGCAGTGTGAAGTTTGCCAGTTTGTAGGACAATTTGATTGTGTTTACAAGTCATTTCATTAATTTCTAGGGAGTGATATGCTACCCATCTTTGAACCTTGATAGCTAACAAATAACTTGTTAGATTTTGGAAGTGTTTCGTTCTCGAAATATAGAAGGAAAGAGCTCTACAGATGTCCAGTGTATGTTAAGTGATAGAAAGAAAGTTGAGAGAATGAGAGGCTAAACGAGGCGGAAGTTTGATACTACCTTAGGTAGGAAGGACATGTCAGAAAAATAGGGACCTTATCCTTGAAAAACTGTAGGAAAGGTGGGTCAGGCCAGAGGGCACACAATTCAGTCATCCTTCATGCTGAAGTGACAGCCACCAGGAAGGCTGTTTAACAAGAAAGGAGTTTCTAGTTTGCCATATCCATTGGCTCAAAAGGTGATTTCATACGTTGATTTAAGCAAAAGAGAAAGTGATGGTGGAGCTTGCACCTGCGGAGTCCAGCAATGCACCTATGTGATGAATCTTCTGATGTGGCTTTAAATTTGATTTTTCTAGTCATGCAAAGACCATGATCTGCCAATAGACTGAGGGGTAAACAGGACGTCTGTCTCTGCCTTGACCCTGCACTGGTCACAATCCATCAGTCGTCTATATAAGGGAACAGCATTATAACAGAGAGTATGAAACAGGAAGCTGTTGGTGCCATGCACAGGGTGCTATAGAAAGACCAAAAGGGAACACTTTGAACTGGTAAATACTGTTGTCCAATGTGAAACATAGGAAATGGTAATGGTTGAAACAGATGGTAATGTGGACATAAACATCCTTGAGGTTGTTCACAGTATGGCTTCCTTCTTTAGTAACATAGCTACCTCCTCCTTTACCACTTGAGATGGTGCTGTGCGCCTGAAGAGACTGTTGGGGGGAAGAGATATAAATTCTATGGCATAGCCATGTTTGATGAAGATTAGTACCCATTTGTAGTTTGTGACAGTGCACCAGATAATAAGATATAGTGCTAATAGTGTAATGGTGTTCTGTGTGGATTCAACAGCAAGTGGATCTCAGTATGTAAGCAGTTAGAAGTGTCTGGTCCTCTTTTTCTTGATGTTTAGAGTTGCTTGGTTGTTAGTACTTCCAGCAATATGACTGTTGTCTATATAGTATTATGAGGCTGATGACAGTGGAGGTCTTTGACATTCAGATGAGAATTTTGATGATGAATATGGACAAGGTTGTTTTCAGTACTGTTTTTCTTATCATGGCATGCAGAAACTCATATCTGTGGCAATATTTCTCTTTTTTGTGAAGGTTTTCAGTTATGTAGGTTTCTTTGACTTAACCTCTGAGGATTTAGATTTCTGCCTTGGTTTTGATTTCTTAGCAGGGGTAGACACAGATTGTATAGTCTTTTTATGCTTCTTTGAAATTGAAGAGGTGGATTTTAATATCTAGAATGCTTTGGAAATGGTCAACTGTGCAGATGGTGTTCTTGATGTCAAAGGGATTCCTTTGGTTTCAACTGGCACTTGTGTCAATTTCACTTGCCTTCATCTCTGATGGTCCTGGTTTTTATTGCCTGAATCTGGATCACCTCTAAGATAAGTTGTCTGGAGGGGGTTGTACATATGGATACAGGGAAAGATGGAAGAAGTTTGTTGAGATAGGGACTTTACAGCCTGCAGTGACTTCTCCCAGAGATGGCATATGAGATGGGATTGTCAATTTCTAATATAAAATTTCATAAATTTATGACCATGCTGGCAGATTTGGTGTCCCTCACTGAGGCAATACACACTTAGAATGTCCTGATGAGGGAGATCTCGTTGGCATATGCAAGACACTTTAAAAAAGTTATCAGAGATAACTGCTAGGCAAGAGAAATGCACAGTGGAGGAGGTTGTTTTAACTGTCTTTTTGCTTTGAGCTCTAGAATGTTCTGACAAGTTTCACACAGGGGCAGAAACACCTACATGTGTGATTCACAGAGAGCACAACAAAGAATTAACCTCTACATATTTTCACAAACATGGAGTAGAGCACAGTAATGTACATAAAGAGCCCATGGTGGGTACCTAAATACCTATATGAACTGAGCAATATCCTCTATGCCACCATTTTCAACCCCCTAGAGAAAGGAGAGCAAGATCATGGCTTCAATCCTTATTTTATAACAAAATTTACTTGTATACTTTTTAAGAAACAGGAAACGTAAGATTTTTCTTGGTGTTTCCAAAACACAAAGAAACTGTGTTAGCCTGTTTTGTCCTATATAGCAAAAACAAGAACAAAAGTATTCTGACACCTTACAGACTGACCAATTTATTTCAGTGCATGGTTTTACAGGTCACAATCCACTCCTTTAGTCATCTGTTTGTTCTTATTTTTGTTATATGCTTTAAAAATTATAAAAAGAAAATGTATAATTAAATTTATTAAATACAGTGGTGCCCCACATAGCGACGTTAATCCATTCCAGGAAAAACGTCGCTATCCGGAAACATCGCTATACGGAAAGAAAAAAACCCATAGGAACGCATTAAACTCCATTTAATGCGTTTCTATGAGGGGTAAACTCAACGCTAAGCAGGAATCCTCCATAGGGCCGCCATTTTCGCCACCTCAGTAAGTGAGGAATCAGTGCGAAAACGCTGTGGGTGGCCATTTTCTTGACGTGGTGGCCATTTTGGAACCGCCGATCAGCTGTGCGAAAGCCCCTGCCGGCATTTTCGCCCAGCTGACCAGGGGTCGCTTCGGAAGGACCGCAGTGGAGCCCTCCCCCACGGTCCTTCCGAAGCCCCCACTGGTCAGCTGGGGGAAAATGGGGCCTATAAGGAACATCACAATGCGATCACTTTTTAAAAATTGTTTTAATTATATTGTATCATGCTTGTTGTAAGCCGCCTAGAGTGGTCTTAAGTGACTAGATAGGCGGGATATAAATAAAACAAATAAAATAATAATAAATAATAAATAAATATGCGGATTCGTCATTAAACGGGGCGCCTGTTAAGTGAGGCTCCACTGTATTGTGAAATAGGAAACTATTCAACAGATAACAGAATCAGAACAGAATCACCAGCTTGAATCTTATTTAATGCATATTTACTCTATTCTCACATGCTTTTAAAATAGGAAACATGGCTGGGTAAACATGGCAATATAGAATTTTTATTCCTTGCAGTGGCATGCTGCTATCAACAAAATCAAATAAAGGGTCCAGTTAGGTCACAAAGATGTGTTTCTGGAATTGAATATCTCAGTCCTTTAGCAACTTTACTTGTTGGTGTCCTGACAGTTTTATATGGAAAGACCACAAAATAGAGGGACTGAGAGAAAATAAAGAGGAGATGGAAATACTATACTAAAGAAGTACAAAGAGAATGACAGATACTATCAAAGAAGAAGAACTTGGAATTTTAGAAGGTGAAATAAATGTTGCTTTCAAAGCAGTTGGAATTACCAGGAGTAGATGTGTTACTAATAGAGGTATTTCAAGCTGCCAGAAAAATGCTAACAAGATTATGCTGACAGTTAATGGAAAAAGGTAACAATGGTCCACAAACTGAAACATGCAATATATATATTCCAGTCCCAAAGAAAGAAAACATCAAAGATTGCAGTTAGCTACAGCATCATCACACAAATCACAAGCAAAGTAATGCTCCGAATTTTACAGTAAAGATCTGTCATACATAGAGCAAGAAAAGTCAAATGGTCAAACTGCATTAAGAAAGGAACAGTCATTTGAAATCATACATTAGCTACAGTAGAGTACCAAAGAATTTCAGAAAAAAAGTTTGTGTTTCACAGATTACAACAAAGCCTTTAACTGTGTGGTTCATGAAAAACTAGGTAGAATTTTAAAGGAAATTAGTGTGCCAAAACTCTGGGTTGTCCTTATGTATAACCAATGCTCTGTAAAAGAAGGTAACATTAGGACAGAATATAGAGAAACAAATCTGTTTGCAATTGACAAGTGTCAGACAAGACTGTTTCCTATCTTCTTATCTGTTCAATACATATGCAGAACAAATAATACCAAAAGTTGGATTTTATTCAGAGGGAAGAGAGGAACTGGTGGATGAAATATCAACAATTGAAAACAGGTGGATGGTACTTATATTACTGAAAAACATTAGCAATTACTTCAAATGGCTACTGATGAAGATGAAAGAAAGTGCAAAAGCAGGATTATAGCTAGAAATCAGTAAAAGAAAAATACAGAAGAATTATATAACAATGCTGACAATGAAGAAATCAAGTTCAATAACGATCTTCTATACCTCATTTCAATTATTAATCCAAATGGAGAAGGTAGCCAAAAAATTAGAAGACTGGGACTTGAAAGGACAGCTGCAAAGGAACTAGAAAAGATCTATAAAAGATATGGGGTGGATGGACAAACAGACATGTTGCTATAGTACAGACTAAGGCCAAGGTCATTCATACTAAGGTATTCCTCACTACTAGGTACAGGTATTCCTCACTACTAGGTACAGATAATGAAGAAAGCTAATATAAAGACAATTCCAAGACTCATTCCAAGCAAGACACCATGGACCACAACTAAGTGAGTTCTGGAGCAAATCAAGTGTGAATTCTCAATGAAGATAAAGTAAACTGTGTCTATCATACTTTGGACATACCATGAGTAGAAAACACCCACTTGAAAAGACAATAGGAAAAGTAGTAGGAAAAGAGGAAGACCTAACATGAAACAGATTGACTCAGTAAGGGAAGCTACAGTCATTCATTTGCAGGACCTAAGCAGGGCTATTAAAGAGAGGGCCCATTGCAGGCCATTATCACAGGCTTTCTGGAAGTTGAAAACAACTTGACCACACATAACAAAAATAGAAAGATAAATTAAACTAATGTTGAGTGATAATTTTCTTCACCATCCCCTCCCTCCCTCCTTCCTCCATGATCAGTGACTTCATTATATGTATGTAATACTATCAAGCCATTATACATATAAATAAACTATTGTGCTGGACTATATGAAAGTCCAAACCCAAATAACAGTTCAAATATGCTAAAAGCAATGGATGGATGGATGGATGGATGGATGGATGGATGGATGGATGGATGGATGGATGGATGGATGGATGGATGGATGGATGGATGGATGGATGGATGGATGGATCTGGACACAAAGTCAACAGAAATCTGTTGAGTGGGGGGGAAAGAGGAGAAAATAGAAAGGAAAGGAGAAAGAATAATGAGAATAATGTTCTGAGAAGTTATGCTTACTTGACATCCAGTCATTACTGAAACATGCATTATTTCTTACCTGATGCAACAACAGTGCTTGCCCATAATGTATTGTCAATGCTTAAACTTTCGTGAACAGTTGGATCACTGTCTTCCTGTCAAAAAATTGAAATAATGTAAAAATTTATTATCATATATGCAAAAGGAATAAGAAAATAACAAAACAATGGCCTGGCATGGAAAGGTCCTCAAGGTAGGTATTAGCTCCCTTTATTCTGTCTCATCTGTTGAAGAATTCTGGAGAATTTTAATGCTTACATATTTTGTGAACACATATTTGATCCTAACAAAGGTACTGCTCACTTGCATTGCCGGTCTCTTTTTAGGTTGTCTCGAATTTCTACATGAACACTGGTTTAATGTTGGTTATAAAAGAGGAGAAATCAGATAAGCACATCCAACTGTTACCATTTCAAAGTGCCTGAGGCTATAAAAGTACAAACAGCATAATCAAGAAATTACAAAAATACAAAGAACGGAATAATGTAATTTGGATTTCAGTGGCAGGGATTTCTCAGTTTCTTGAAAGTAAAGACTGTCTAAAACTTCCTAAATATTCCTCCATACAAAGTTAATTATGAACTAAGGTGGAGACAACCTGGGACCAAGCCCAAATCCCCTTTTACCCTCCTACTTCTACTATAGACCACTTTGGTCTTATAAGTGCTGCATTCCTTGACAATCCCTTTTTAGGGATTAGAATATATATTCAACATTTTCAATCTTATCAAGCAAAATCCAAAGAAACAAAACACACAAAAACAGAGAAAAGCATGTGGCACCTTAAAGACTATTATATTTTAATGGGAGCTTCTGTAGACACACCCACTTCGTCAGACATACGGAAATGGAATGAGAATCTTGCTTTGTTGTCTATATTTGTTGACATATTTCAGACAAGCTTTTGACAGAGTCCTTCTTTGCAGCTTGAACTAGTTCTATTAGAATCCCATCTACTCTTGATTTACTTTTTCCAAGTCCTTTGAAAACAGCTTTCACTTTACTTTCTAAAACTGCAGTTCTATCTGTCACCCTTGCATCTCTCCTCTATAGTTTTTAAATATATTGTTTTCACCTACTTTTTATTTTTTCCTGATCAGATAGTACTTTCACCTCAATGCCTGACTTCCCTTTGACTTCTTGGATCCTGTGGAGGAGATGTCATATTTTCCTCTTTTGTTGTTCTTTTCTCTTTCTCTGCATTGATTATCCTAATAGCTCTTTGTATCTGCATGATAGTCAATGAAAAATTCAACTCACAATTCTGACCCTATTTCTGTTACGTTTTATTTTTGTTTTTTGACTGTCTTCAGCAATTTCAAGAAAATAATTTTTGTTGTTCTATTTTTCCCTGATAATACTTTCAGTTTCAATCTACAAATGAAACCAATCAACTGAGTTTAGTAAAATAAATCTTTAAATTTATCAGAAATTTTATTTTAAATAATATTTTGCCACCAATATTCTTTTACTATTTTTCAGCTTTACTCTCATTTTTATACAGTATTAACAATTCTTGGTCATTATCACAATCTCTTCCTGGTCTTGTTTTGGCAAACAGAATACAGCTTTTCCAACTACCAGTTCAAATTCTTTAGTTTATTTGATTTCAGTATTGGCTAGCTGATGGTTGCATGTGCACAATTTTCTGATTGGTTGACTGAAGCATATGTTTGCAATAAATAAGTTGTTGCTACACACAATTCTACAAGTTATTCTGATGCTTCATTTCTGACTCCCAGTCAAAATTTTCCCCAAACAATTTGGTTCTGCTTTGTTTCCAACTTTTGCATTCCAGTCACCTGTAATTATCAACACATCTTGTTTTGATGTGTGGCCAAGCTTTTCCTGGACGCTCGTATAAAAGCTTTCAATTTCTTCCTCAGCATCTGTAGCTGGTACATAGACTTGAATGATAGTTATGTTGATATGTTTTTCAAGACATCTGTTTGATAATATTCAGTCAGACCTTGCATTACAGGCCCTAACTGCTTGCACTAGTCTCACCTCTGCATTAGCACCACATGATTTCTTCTGTTTTGTCATTTCCAGAATAAATACTGTACTCTGTAACTGTCTGGTTTAAAATGTCCTATTCTAGTCTACTTTAGTTCACTGATACCAAGTAGTGAAATGCTTGAGCAGTCAATTTCTTGCTTTCCAGTTTATCTTGATCCATACTTCTCATGTTCCATGTTCCAACTGTATGTGTCATGCATACATGCACTTTTGCTTTTGTGCACGGTGACCATCAAATGTCCTTTCAGGTTTAAGCTAGCTGTTTCATTTGCAATAGGGCTACTTGTACTTGCCCTTTGCTCTTCCTCAATAGTTGATCAGGTACCTTCTGGCCTGGAAGTCTCATCTTGTAGCACTTTCATTTGTTTTAGTTTGGATTATAAGATTTTAAAGATATGAAACACTGAGAAATAGTTTACCATTGCCTTCTGCTGTGAAGTATTAACAAGAGTTAGCTTGTGTGTCACTGCCATTGTCCGTGAAATATCCTCGGCCAGTAAGATCTTCCATTACTCCTGTTGCCCTCCAAGAGATTCTCTACCCCCATCACCATTTGAAATACTATTTTTTTTCACCTGAGTATGGTGGACGCATTTTAATCTGATGTCTTGGCTTTGACCACTCTACCTTAGGTGGCCCTGCTGGGAGTCCAGACTCACAATGGAGTCTACCCTTTTGAATGGCACTGCTCTAAGCTTCCGTGATACACTCAAAACCTCACCATCACATTAAGAAGTGCATCCCAGAGGAGACAATACTCTCCAAATATAATGGTCCATCTTAATCAGAAAAAAACAGATACAGTACTCCTGAAAATCAGAAGCAACTTTGTGTCATCATAGCCTCTGTAAGAATAAAAGGGTTCAGATCGTTAATAATTTATGGATATAATAAATGAAAAATCTGTGGTGGCACTAGTTTGATAAAATCCAATTTTTAAATTGCTAACTAAGAAGCACTTTCTAAAGTGTCAGGTAAAACAGCAACCTGATAGAAAAACAGATTCCTGATATTTACATAACAACAGATTTAATTTCTATCCAGCACCATGCTATGATATAGTTAACCTCAAAGCCTAGGACTAATATATAGGTTGAAAGCATGGGGTATCCCTTTTATATCTAAGGCAGAGGATGCCTTTGAAAGGGTCAAGAGGATGTATGATATAGACTACTTGCTGCCCCCATTGCTCTTCCTCTATCAAGATTAGTCCTGGTAGCTAGACACTAGTGTGTGGGGAAGACAGAACCCAGAGAAAAGTACTCAGGCTAAGAGATCATTCAACTGTTTGGCAAGAAAAGGGTAAGCAAGTAGATTTCTTTTCCTTCTCAAACTGCTAGTCAACAAAAGCAAAACAATTTATACTTTGGATCTGCATGTGTAGCCCTAGCACTGAAATCAGAAATTGTGCATGTAGACAATATACATGAGCTTGTCCCTATTCAACTACAGAGAGACACTCAGAAGCTTGCTTGAGGAATATTCTCTTGTTGGATTGGGGGGGGGGTAGCTTTCTACTCTGTTCTTAATAGACAGGATGAATAACGGCCTTCCCTGTAACACCCTTTTAAGCATCTGAAAATTGGAACTTAGAACACAGCACAACATGTTCTAGCCATGCTATGAAATCTGTCTTAACACCATGGTCCTGGGCTAAAACATTGTTTTGTTCTCCGTGTTAGACAGCATCTGGATAATATGGATTGTCTCATTTGCTTTTTCACACATAATTCAGATACATCTAAAAGACATTCACACAAGGAGACTTTCTTGCGCAGCAAGTGCTGTACATAGAAAGACAATTGTATAAACAAATACCATGCTGTATCTAATTTTTAGACTACATATAACACTGTTCTCAAGAACATAGTTCTCTTAAGCCGTATTTTAACAAGATACTTTTCAGGTGCACAATTTCATGAAGCATAATGGAAAAGCATCCAAGTGATCACACACAAAGGGCAAAATCCTACCGGCATGAAGTTATGCCACATAAACCAGATCCGGTGCTGGATATAAATAATTTAAATCAATCAAAAGCTTTGTATTCCACCCTACCCCATCTTTCAGGTTCTGTGGCTCCCCAGGGCTCCCTTTTGCCCTGGGAAAGTCTTTTGGAATCTTGGATGTGTAGCTTTTAATAGTAAAAAAATTACTACTAGTCCTGATTCTGGCAATGGCAAAACAGTGATGAATTTGACTATAAAAGGATCCCCCACCCCCAAGCCGCCTATATTTGTTTAAAATAATTATTTCTGGAGCTAGATTGAATTTAAGCCAATGTAATGGGTTAAACCACAGAAACCTGTGTTGCAAGGTTGGAAGACCAAAAGTTGTAAGATCGTTGTAAGGACCGTCACTTATCCCAGCTCCTGCCAACCTAGCAGTTTTAAAGCCTGTAAAAATGCGAGTAGATAAATAGGTACCACCACGGTGCGAAGGTAACAGCGTTCCATGTCTAGTCACGCTGGCCAGGTGACCACAGAAACTGTCTACTGACAAACGCTGGCTCTATGGCCTGGAAACGGGGATGAACACCATGCCCTAGAGTTGGACACGGCTGGACTAAATGTCATGGGGAACCTTTACTTTTTACTAACATCACCCTGATGTTGGGAAAGTGTGAGAGCAAGAGGAGAACGGGGCGACAGAGGACGAGGTGGTTGGACAGTGTCATTGAAGTTACCAATATGAATTTGACCAAATTCTGGGAGGCAGTGGAAAATAGGAGGGCCTGGCGTGCTCTGGTCCATGGGATTACAAAGAGTCGGACAATTTAACAACTAAATAACAACAACAACATGCAACACAATTATGCCCACCGAGTTCACAAAATGTTCAGAATTTGAAACTTTTCAGAATATTCAGAATATATAACTGGGACAAAGACAATTACTACTTACCCGAGTAAAAGTACCTTCAAAGCTGTGAATATCCATTTGTGGCTTTTGAGCATAAACATATGCATTGATTGAAAAAAGATCCTGAAACAGACAATTTTAAAATATTGGTATATTTTTATGACATTAATACTTCTAGCAATAAGGACAAGATTAGTTCTCACACCTGTCCCATAGGAATGAACAGAAATTGGTTCTTTTTCTCCCATTTCCACCATCCATTTCAGTCTGAATACACAAAGAAGTATATGAGAACAGGTCTCTGTACACTAATCACAACTCCATCCAAACTTTTTAGTGCAGAGGAAGATTTGCTGAACATATTTATGATTTTATTAAAATGAACTGTTCTTTAGTAAAATTCCAAAATGTCATCATGAATGCATCTTAGCCTTAATCCAAATACTGTAATGATGCTAAAGCACCAAAAACACCCTCCTCTCACTCCTGCTGCCTTTGATACTCTCCTGGGTCATGCTTTTGACAAGTGTAGCAAAACATAAAATACTTGTGAAATGTAGCTTAGGGTCCACTAATTTACAGTATTTTCTTACTCTCTGGTTTTCCTGTTGTTTTCCATGGAGCAATCCCCAGCTCTCACCCAGTTATCTTTTACACTTTTACCACATAAACAGTAATTCAGTTTAATATACAGATTCAGTATTCCCAGGGCTACTGGACAGCTTTCTTTGAACTTTATGTAGTGGTTTTCCTATTGTAAACGCTGAGCTTCCAGTTACCTGTGGAAGATGCTGTTGAGAATTTTGTACACCAGTATATTTTAGTGTGACGTGGTGGCGCTGCGGGTTAAACCGCAGAAGCCTCTGTGCTGTAAGGTCAGAAGACCAGCAGTCGTAAGATTGAATCCATGCAATGGAGTGAGCGCCTGTCGCTTGTCCCAGCTCCTGCCAACCTAGCAGTTCGAAAGCATGTAAAGATGCAAGTAGATAAATAGGTACCACCACGGTGGGAACGTAAAGGCGTTCTGTGTCTAGTCGGGCTGGCCACGTGACCACGGAAGCTGTCTTCGGACAAATGCTGGCTCTATGCTCTGGAAACGGGGATGAGCACTGCGCCCTAGAGTTGGACATGGCTGGACTAAATGTAAAGGGGAACCTTTACCTTATGTTTTAGTACTGCTTTTGTCCAATAGTTCATTTTTGCAATTTTCATAGCTTAATTCAATATCTTCCTCACTGCATAGATTAGTACTACACTTGATTCCCTAAACAGTTGTACAGTATATCTACCACATAACACATTTCAATACAGGCATTCACCACTGAGTGAGGAGGGTACTTAAGGGTTAACAAATACAACAAGCATGCTCATCCAAAGAGTGGTATTTTCAGCAGAAGACAGGAAACTCTGTACAGTATAGTGTTTGTAGAGCCCTTCATCTCTCATCCTGATCAGCTGTCTCACATGCAAATGATTCTTGCTACCAGCCTTATCTATCACCCATTCAACAGAGTAGATCCATTAGCAAAGGTATACTTGCAAGATGTTTGGATCAGGGCACAGGTGTAGTTGCCTGAAAAAAATCAGCTATAGGAACTAATCGCTATACATAGACATTTTCTTTCAGGCTCAACTCTCAGATTAAGGGTGCTATGACAGCTAAATATACAAGTATGAGGTTTTAAGAAAAGCAAATAATGGTTATCTAATGAAGGTTTATTTACTTAGACATTTCCTTTAGCTATAACAGAATGCAACCCTAACCTTCAAAATCTCCTAAATTATTTATGTGTGTTCATCCAACTATTTTATTCATATTTTAACAGTGTAAATCAGATTTCAACATTTTCCATTACAAATCACCTGTTTTTATGCTAAATCATCAACCGCTTATTGTAAGCTTTCACACAAACTCTCATTCAGTGCATTCTTGTTCTTCTAAGTTAGTTTTCATCAGGCTCTTGAGAAATAATTCATATGAAACTAATACACATGTGGTGTCCTGTATCTTCATCATTCACTTCTTCCCAATCTGTTATCACCCACAATTTAGATAATCCAGGCTATTATGTGCTTTATTGTGCACAGAAAAATAAGTCTCAGCACAGGAGGAAACTAATACCACACACATACTCGTAATACAATAAAAACTATTAATGAAGTGAGCCAAGCACGAAAGTTTTCTTCCTTTACAAACACTCATGTTAGAGAAACAGTTATGCTCTGAACAAACCGTGTGTCCATTAAAACTTGCTTTTTCTCTGACAAAAATAGTTGCTACATCAAAATTGCTTTAAGAGCAAGTGAGAAGAAATTTATAGATCTACCTACCCACCCAAAAAACCTTCATTGCACACTTCAGAATTCAGACACCATATAAGAAACAAGCAATTTATTAAATAATTCCTCCATATGAATTATAAGCCTTTGTCAAATAACCATTTATCTCTACCCTGTAATTAAAATTATGTTCATTGTTTTTATTGAGTTTTAAGCCTTGCCATCTATATTTTCTTGCATAATAAAAAGCTACAAACATTTAAATTTTCACTTGTATTTTAAGTATGGATAACTGAAAATACACCATATTAGACAAATGCATTTTAGAATTACATCATGTTATTTAGATGAGGATTTTCCTCTTACTTTTAAGCAAGCATTTTGGAAGTATGTGTCTAATTGTTTTCATAAGGCATGAAAGAACTAAATGATGGTGTAGTGATGACAATGTTTTCCTCTACAGTTCACAATAATAATTTAGAAATTACTCTGTGATTATCAATATTGTAGAAAAACCTCCTCTATTAGGTCAAGGTCAACATTTGTTCATCTTACTTAAAGATCATTAAAATACATCCTTAATCATAACATACAGTTCATTACAAATAAAATCACCTCTGGTTCAATAAAACTAATTAAATGTAAATGGTATTGTTTACTGCTCTATGGATCTTTTTATATAAATCAGCAAGTCACCATTTATTGAAAATTACAGTGACCTCATTGCTGCTAATAAATTTACATGATCACTTACGCTAGAAAAGACTATCCCAGTATGTGAACAGTGCGGAAAGACGCTATTTCACATATGACTATTAAACCAGGAAACCTAACCTGGGTGTTACAGTTCTTACAGCTTAGCTATCATTAAATGACTTGTTGAAATTTTAATTCTCTGATCACATTAAGTGGTTTGGAAAGACAACAAAATCTGTACTGATCATCTTTGGTGGTGTCATCTGTTCTTTAAGAAACCTCTAAAGGTTTGCCAGTTTATTTATTCTGGGTGTCAGTGTGGATAAGGTTACAGTCCAACACTGACGGTGGAACTGACAGCCCATGACAACACAAAATACAATCCCTTACATCAGATAACTACAGAAATCAAAATGAGTGACAGTTATGGACTGTGTATGTTAACAATATTGCCCAATAGCTTATTCTGCATCCATGTAAACATGTTTTCTTTTCCATTGGACATTAGTTGATCTATTAAAAGGAAGGTGTTTTCTTTATAGACTTTTTATAGGATGTAGGGCTGGAGCACCCTATTAATTCCATCTTTTTTCTACTTGAAGCAAGACTATTAACATGAAATGCTGCCATCTTGTCCAAATTAAACGAAGCAAAGACATTTCACTCTATTTACCTCCACTACAATTTACCAGTAAAATTAGGAATTGTTCTAGAGATAAGCACTAAACCCTGACTGACTATATTAAAAATATAACTTAGATCTAACATGGGACCTAATTATTCACTGTTGTCAACACTGAGGATTAGATACTGCTTGGAAGTCATAATCTTTAACTTGGACAATCTATTTATAGTACAGTATGAGGACTTCTCAAAGGAGACGGGAAAAACATTCTCCTCATGCTCAAAACTGAGAGTCAGAAATTAGAATTAGGTCATTTACGCCATCCCAAATGTCAGATTACTGGATTTGTTGGGACATACAAGCACTGACACCTATATACGGTTGGCCGCCACAGGAAGCAGGTATGTGCACCAAAAAACCTTTCTTGCTAATGCTCCTTTGCTTGACATTTTATAGGGGCAAAACAAGGGAAGTGTAGGCTCCACTGCCTCAAACACCCACCCAGTACCTTGATGACTATAGATGTCAAAAATATAGAATATCTTGGCAATAAAAAGCATTGCCAGTCGCCAAAACGGGATAATTACAAAGTACTGAATGCTGACATTTAAATTGTAAATTCTAATCTCCTTTAGTAAGTTGGAGTTACTTTTAACTGTCACACACACTTGAAAACATTCATTAAAACAGTGTGGCAACATTCAAACCTGAAATGATTAATTCACCTATCATTACTCATTTCTCTTGAAACTAGATCCTTTATTTTTTTTACAGCTTCCAAGCTTCTGGTGGCAAAGGTTTGAATGTATTAGATTTTATACAAACAGAATAATACTGACTACAGTAAGAACCACAGAAAAAAAAGCAAGTGCAAAGCATGTATATCCTTAGCCATTTTAGTAGCAGCCCAGCAGGTGGCATTCAAGAATTACTGCAAAACAGAAATCAGCATATCCTAAACACAATTCATTTGCTGATTACATATAAAACAGGGAATCCTGCAAATAAACAGAATGTGTAGATGGAGATTGATTTATTAAACATAAATGACTTGTAAGAATTTCTGTGAGAAGTACAAATTGCAAGGATTTTGTAGTATTTAACATAAGGTTTAATTTTAAATTTACATTTTGGGAGCTTTTACTTATCTTGGTTTCCAAGAAACACAACTGAAGTCCTTCGCTACACTCAATTAGTTTGTGTCTCATAAAATGTTATTCTGAGGATGGTACAGACTATCTTACACTGTGACTCTGCTAGTATCGAGCAGTGCTGGAGAGAACTGTGTTTTGCCAGCATTGCTCGATACTCACAGTGTCTTTCTTCCAAGAATTAGCTAATACACCTTGATGATATTCAGCAATATCATGTTAGGGTGCAGTGTGTTTTATTCCTTTGCAGCCAGTCTGTGCTCAAATGAAACAAACTCTGTGAAATGCGTGCTACATACGTGACTCCCATGTCCACAAGAGCATTAATTTTAGAAAGTGCTGCTGTTCAAAGAATACATCAATGAAGTGTGCAGTACAAAAGTAACTGAATGATCCCTTGGATTCAAGTATGTCATTCCATATTGTATCTATGTTTACTTCTGAACTAACTGATACCATATTCAATTTTCAATTAGAAAATAGTAAGCATGTTAAACAAATTCTTTAAACAACAGCAAGTCTCTTCATAGCAAGTTATTGCTTTTATCTTGGAAAACTCCAGCAAACAATGTATTTCTGAACCTAAATAGCAATATTATTTCAACATGCACAAAATTTCATTTATTTACTGCACTTGTATGCTTTCTTGGGTGGCAGAACACAAAGCATCTCACAGACCATTAAATTAATCACAAATAAAAGTAAAGACATATGGATCACAAAAAGCCTTACTGAACATGAAAAATTTAGAATCATAATCTAAAAAATGAATTAAAAGCGGTAAAAGCATTAAGAGCACTCAAATAAAAAGAATACAATGGCAGCACATGTAGGGGATCTAGATATATTAAAACAAATTATTAAAAGCTGCTCTGAACAAAAATGTTTTTAATTGTCTCCTAAAGCAAAGGAGAGAGGGAGCCAGCTTAGCCTCAATAGTATTCCATAGCCTTAGAGGCAACCACCAAGAAATCCGTATCTTGGGTCCCTGTCAAATGTACTTGCAAAGGTGTGGGACCAGTATGAGATCTTCCTCAGAAGAGCTTAAGATCTGAGAAATGTCATGAGAGGAAAATATAGCACATCAGATAGCCTGGATGCAAGATGTATGAGGTTTTTTAGGTTGTAAGTAGAGATGGGGCTTTGTATGCATATATGAAAACGAAGCCCGCTGCCACAGGTTTGATGAACACCCATCTCCAGACCCCACCGGACCACTGGATTAAGTTTCTATATATTTGTTCTAATCCAGTCAATCAACACCACCAGTCACTGGGTTTTATACAGGAAAGGTTTCCTTGGACTTAGATGGAAAAGAAAGATAAGAGTTGGATGCCATCAGCACACTCGTGGCACCAAGCTCCAAAACTCCAGACAAGGGCTGTAGACACGATTGCTCCTAAATGCCCTCTCTGGCGCAGAGTTCGGCCTGTGTCCTGGTTTAATCAGGAGCTACGAGCGATGAAGCAAAAGAGGAGAAGGCTAGAGTACAAGTGGAGACGGAGCACGACAGTTTATTAATCAGAAAGCTGTCAGGGTTGCGACTAACCTTTACCTTGCTAAGGTGAGGGCTGCTAGTCAAGCTCACATTGCTAACTGGATAAGCGAAGCTTCAAATCAGGAGGTGGAACTTTTCTGTATAGTCTGCAACCTATCCAGAACTGGTCTAAATCGTGAGCCTCCTTCTACCATTTCACTAGACCAATTTGCAGCATTTTAAAAATCTAAAGTGGAGGCCATCTACCGGGAGCTCTCTCCTTTTTTGAATACAGTGGATCAAGCAGAGATATCCAGCGCTCCGCATTGCCCGGTGAGTCTTGATCTCTTCCAGCCTGTGACACCAGATATTGTGGACAAAACACTTGATCGCTGTTGGGCCACCACTTCATCCCTTGACCCCTGCCCGGTCTGGCTAATCAAAGCAGCCAGGCGTATAACAATTGAATGGGCCACAGCAATAATTAATGGGTCTCTCCTCGAGGGCAAGGTACCTCTTGCACTTAAGGACAAACTCATCAGGCCCATTAGGAAAAAACCAAATTTGTCGGCGGACGATATTGGCAATTATAGGCCCATCGCCAATGTTTCCTTCCTTAGTAAAGTGGTGGAAAGGGTGGTGGCCGACCAGCTTCAGGTTCATTTGGATGAAACAAATGCCCTGGATCCATTTCAGTCGGGCTTCAGGCTGCACCATGGTACAGAAATGGCATTGGTCACCCTGGTGGATGACATGCTGAGGGAGGCCGACAAGGGCAAAACGTCTTTGTTGGTCCTCCTCGATATCTCAGCTGCCTTTGATACCGTCAACCACAGTATCCTCCTGAGGAGGCTGTCCAAGTTGGGAATTGGTGGTCTGGCACTTGCCTGGCTCCAATCCTTCTTTGGGGGACCGTCCTCAGAGAGTACAACTTGGGAAGACAGTTTCGGCCCCATGGAGCCTCAATTGTGGGGTTCCACAGGGCTCGATTATCTCCCCAATGCTGTTTAATATCTACATGAGGCCGCTGGGTGGGGTCATCAGGACACAGCTCTACATCTCCTTTTTTCCAACCACAGTGGATGCCGTTCTTTCCTTTCAGAGCTGTCTGGAGGCTGTGTACTGCAATAGATGCAGGAAAATGGGCTGAGGCTGAAACTGGACAAGACGGAAGTCCTTCGGGTGGGTGGCCCCACCACTGGCGGTTTGGGAAACTCCCTCTCTTTTGGGGAGGGTGACTCTCATTGGGAAGAGTAAGGTTCACAGCTTGGGGATTCATCTGGACCCAGCGCTCACCATGGAAATCCAGGTGGCGTCTGTGGTCCGTTCCGCCCATTTCCATCTATGGTGGATTGCCCAGTTGCATCCCTATCTTGATGTTGGGGAGCTCACCACTTTGGTCCATGCGCTCGTAATCTCAAGATTAGACCACAGCAATGTGGTGCAGAATGTGGCGGCCAGACTTATTAGTGGGACGAGAAGACATCAGCATATATCTCCCACTCTGGCCACTTTGCATTGGCTGCCCATTCATTTCCACATTGATTTCAATGTGTTAATGATCACATAATAAGCCCTAAACGGTTTAGGACCTCGATACTTGGCAGAACGCCTCCTCCCACCTAGATCTACTCATGTAACACTCGCTCTAGCCAGGAGGGGCGGCTGAGGAGCCTAACAATGACAGAGGCCCTGAAAGAAAAAACAAGAAACCGGGCCTTCTTGGCAGTGGCATTCCGCCTCTGGAATAATCTCCCCTCCGAGATTCACTTGGCCCATTCGCTGGGTATTTTCAAGAGCCAACTCAAGACCTGGCTATTCAGGCAGGCCTTCCCTCTGGTCACCATCTGATTCATCCCTTTTTTCCATCTTGAATGATTTTCTTACTGTTGTTAAATTGATATTATTTGATTGTTTTTATTCCATTTTATTGTGAGCCGCCCAGAGTAGACACTGTCTAAATGGGTGGGATACAAATTTAATGAATGAATGAATGAATGAATGAATGAATGAATGAATACTGTAACTCGTTTACTTATTGTATATTTCTATGCTGTCCACTAGCAAAAGTTCCCAGAGAAGCTTACAATAAGAGAGAGCTGCTGCATAACAGGTAAACCCAATCAATCAATCAATCAATCAATCCAGCCTGAAGAACTGTAGCAAATGTTAAAAAAATGAAAGGCTCTCAGAAGCATAACAAAATAGTTACAAAACTAAAAATGTCATGGTCCATAAATCACTAAATAGGCCAAAATCATATTGTGAAATATAACATACATTAGGGCAACTATAGATTTTTTTCATCTTCTGCTAGATTTCATCCATGTGACCAATGGTGGGACTGCCAGCAAAACCATGCATACCATTTACATGATTGCCAGTTTATGTGCAGTGATTTTTAAATGACGGAAAAATTAAAAGGTGGGAAATTATCTTTCTTCAAATTGTACCAGGAAACAAAAGTGTTAAGGTGCCAGATGGATCTGTCTAGCACCTACACTTTTATTATAATCAAGACATAACCATTAAAATGCCCCTAGCAGCAACCCATACCATTTCATTAGTTGGGCACCAGAGAAGGGGCTCAAGAGAGTATCTTAAGATCAGAATATATAAGGGAGGTGTCTCCTGCTCCCAATCTCTTTAAGACTTTAATAGTTAAAATCATAACCTTAATTCGAGTCCAGAAACCCAGGATTTTAGTTATAGGAAATATGACCAGCAAACATAATGTAGGAATGTGTAGGACACACTACTGATTTCAAAGCCAACTACTAAGCCAACTTAGCATGCCATTAACATATCTGTACTTACTGTTTACAGAAGTTCAGTGCTACACTTGATACAATTTTGTCATTAAATACATCTACTCCCAAACATATAACTGCATAAGGTACAATGAAAAAAGGGAAACATATAGCTACAATGCTTACCCCTAAAGCTGGCAATCTTTGTGTGCAACTAACAGCAACTTTTAGTTTCCAGTCTGTTTCACCATCTAGCTGATCAGTTCGGATAAAACATGAACCTTAAAATTGTAAAAGAAACAAAAACATGACAGGTGTTTTAGAAACCATTGTATGGAAACAGACATAAAGCCATGGAATTGTTGCTACTGAAATGTTCTATGACACCACTTTTAATTCTAAAAGAACATAGGGACATGAACGATTCCTACAAAAATAGTCCAGGAGCCAAATCTGTGTGTGTGTGTGTGTGTGTGTGTGTGTGTGTGCGTGCGTGCGTGCGTGCGTGCGTGCATTCATGTGTTTGTATACATCTAATACAAAGGTCTTCTGGAGTGTCCCAAACCAGCTAAAAACTCAAAACAGCTTTCTAAACTTCATCAGATTTATCCAACATTTTGACTGAGCTTGGAAGCCAACAGAAAGGTTGGGCTAGCAACTGATTTTGTCCACCATCAACTGAGAACTGTTTTGACTGCAGGGAGCAGCTCAGTTGTTCCAAAGTGCTCCTCAAGCTCCACACTGACTTCATAATTGAGCTTGTCCTTGTCCTCCCAAGCTTCAGAATAAGCATGGGTGACATGGGCCTACAGTACACGCTTGGCTTCAGAACAGAACTTGGAAAGGACTCAAGTCATTATCCTTCCACTGATTATTTATGGATGACTTCAGGATGCTATTATATACATTCTGCTTACAAAACTTTCCAAGCTCTGCTTTAGAGGTACTTAAGAGAGTCATGTGGTAAAGTTCAATGCAATTTCAGGAATGAAGCCCTTTTTTGGTGTTGAAGAAAAGTGAAAGGGGTGTTGATCAACTTCAAGAACATTCTGCATCCTCAGTCACTGCTCACTGTCTGCAGTGATTTAAAACCACTCTGAAGCACAAAGAATTATTAAAATCTGAGCTCCTTTGAACCACAGAAGAGAGTCTCAGATAACAAACACACATCCTGCTGTTTCCAGTTGAAAAATAAATTCATCATGTCCATAAATGAAATCACTCCATGGGAACTCATCTGTGGACATCTTGCCCCAGCCAACAATCTTTTGAAGAAAGAATTTTCGAACAACAGCACCAATCAGCAAGGGCATCTCACAACTTTTCCAAGCAAAGTTTTCATTTTTCATGTACTAGATAAAAACTGTGTAGACTACAGATTACCAAACCTCTCAAGAATCTCTGTTCTTTTAAGATCAGGTCAAAAAGAAGACAAGAATTTTCAAACAAAACTGATTTTGTGTACTGAGGTGTTTGGTTGAGTTATAAGGAAATAGATAAAATTTCTCCAGGGATGTTTATCAGTTCACTGCCCCTGTTACGGGCAGACTGTATCAAAACTCAAATCTTTTGTGTAATAATCCAATTTCTAACTAATTTATGCTGGAAAATCAGTGCTAACAAAATGAAAAAAAGTCTCATAGGCACTCAGTGCCATAAAGCCCTTTCCTTCATCCTAGTGGTTCCCAATCTTGTGTCCCCAGGTATTCTTGTACTACAACTCCCAGGAATCCTGGCCAACAAAGCTAGTTGTAAAGGCTTCTGAGAGTTTTAGTTCAAGAAAATCTAGGGACACAAGGTTGGGAACCACCGTTTTCTATGATTCCCTTGAACCATTTCACATTACCAAGTAAATGCTTACATGTAGACCTGGCGTTTTAATTCTCAGTGTTCCAGAAATGCCAAAATGTGAGGATAAAATTTTTAAATGACATTTTCCAAGATGCAGACTAACCAAATATTGGTTATTTTATATGGGTGCCTCTTTCTTCAGAGAAATTTAATGCTATATTAGAAAGATGTGCCCCCTAATTGAAATAAAAAGTACTGAAACATATATTTTATTCATTAATGCCTGCCTAGGTAGCTAACTACCTAGAAGGACATGGCTAATACAGAACAGGCATGCAATTATATCTGATTCAGCAATAGAATCTTCAAACAATACACTGTCACAAGAATTTTGAGTATGTTCAATATCTGTATTGTATTATTTCCATAGCAACACACTTCTATGAATCATAAAGCAAATAAGAGTTAGCCTTTAAAAGAAATACTTCCACAGAAAAATCAAAATTCTTTCCCAAAATGAAAACAAAATATTTTCACTCTGTTCCAGATACTTGAAAAAAATATAAATTTGTGAAAAATTGGACTGACAACTGAGCAAAACTGTTAATTCCTTTTAGAAATTCCAAGAACAAAAATAGTAAGCACTTTCCAGTTACTGAAACTGAAAACAATGCAAATAAGCATAAGACAATGTGAGTACCATCTATACAACAGTCTATTTTCCATCATACTTTCTCTATACAAAACATTTCATGGTTCTCCTTACCCTTCCTGTCAATGGCTGCTCTCATCCATCAATTTCATTTAGAATTATACTATAGATCAATGCAGTTCAAGACCAGTGTGGCTCCTGTGAATGGTTGACTGCACATATATTCATTTAATAGAGCTCACACTATGACATGTATTGGCCAGCTGCATTTCCTCTCCACTTCAGCAGTTAATTTCATCAATAACTTATCTCATAGTCTGTTTCCCTTTTATCCAGAAAAAGGGGCTGCTTTGTGCCTAGTCAGCTTTCAATAATGATCACTACAGCAGAGCCTATACAATAAAATATCCATCTACCCCAGCATTTCAAAATAATTCTTTAACACCATTGGAAACATTTTTTTCAGTGTATCAAGACATTAATTCTGAATATTTTATAATGAGTTTTTAAAAAGAACAAAAATTAAATGGGCTCAAATGTATTTGGGGTCAACCACAGTTAATGACAACTTAACTGCAACACAGGATTGGATTTCAAATTTAGTCATATTTAGAACAGAGAGACCAACATCAGTGATACCTAAATGAAGGAAGGCTGACAAAACTCCCAGTGATTTCAGTGGGTCTGCTCTAAACCTTATAATTTTCATGAACATTACATTTTCTACACTGTAGATGTAAATCAAGTCATACTAAAGCATCTCTGCAACTTCCAGCTGGGCAGGAAAAGAAAAATCCCGAGATCAATAAAACACAGTTGGAAACAATAAAGTTTGCACATATTTCCATGTTTCTATCCTCCTCATCATTTTATACCATCTTGGTATAAAAACCTTTTTCTACAACTGCAAGGTTTAGATTGATCTACATATATTCCATAAAATTGTATAACCAATGAAAAGCTGGTATAACTGATGAAAAACTTTGTCTTCTTTTAGGGAATCAATTCCATCTTCTATTTGGTCCAAATCTTTTCCTGGAATCTTCAACCTTTCCCAGCATTACTGTTTTTTCCAAAGAATCTTGGCTTCTCATGATGTGCTCAAAGTATACTATCTTTCTGGCAATCCAGGGTATCTGCAAAATTCTCCTCCAGCACCATATTTGAAACAAATCATTTGTTTCCTGTCAGCTTTCTTGACTGTCTAGCTTTCACTTCTGTACATTGTAATCAGGAATACAATAGTGTGGATTATCTCAGTCTTGCTCTCCAGTGACACATCCTTATACCTGAAGACTTATTTCAATTTCTTCTTTGTCAATGCTAAAGTTCTGTAGTTCTGTAGTCATGATTTTTGTCTTCTTAATGTTCAGCTATAATCCTGCTTTGGCATGTTCTTCTTTCACTTTCATTAAATGTTATTTCAAATCATTGCTGCTTTCTAACAGTAAAATGGTGTCATTTGCATATTTTAAATTACTGATATTTCTTCCACCAATTTTCACTCCTCCTTCAACTGAATCTGGCTTGGTTTTCTGTATGATGTATTCTGCATACAGACTGAACAAGCAAGGGGATAAAAATGAACCGTTGTCTGATATCTTTGCCTATAGAAAACCATTCTGTATCTCCATATTCTGTCCTAACTGTGGTTTCTTGTCCACAATAATGGTAGAGAGTCAAGGACAATCAAGTGCTGAGGCACAAACAATTCTTTCAGAACAACCTATAATTTCTAATGAGTCACATAGTCAAAGGTTTTGCTATATCTAGACTGGTCTTCTGAAATTCTTTGGTGTGCTCTAGTAGCCAGCAGATATTTGCAATATGATCTTGAGTGCTTCTTCACTTTCGGAATCCAGCTTGAACATTAAGCATTTCTTGTTCCACATAAAAGAAAAGCTTTTGTTGCAATATACTGAGCATCACTTGATTGCATGGGAAATTAGAGCAATAAAGTTACTGCACTCTTGGCATCTCCTTTCTTGGGGATTGGAATGTACAGTATATTGAATGTTTCCAGTCTCTGGGAAATTGTTTTGTTTTTGAAATGTGTTGGCAAATTCTTGTTAGGAATTTGACAGATTCATTCTCTGTGTCTTGATATAGTCCTATCAGTATCCCATCTACCCCAGCTGATGTATTTCTTCCCAGTGCTTTCAGAGCAGCTTTCACTTTACTTTCTAGAATTGCAGATTCTTCATAGGAGGATTCTTCTATTATGCAAAAGCAGCACTGCAAATGAATTCACAAAAGTTACTATCTAAAGATCATAAGAACATAAGAAGAACCCTGATGGATCAGGCCAAAGGCCCATTTAGTTTGGCTTCCTGTATTTCACAGTGGCCCCATCAGATGCCTCTGGAAGCACATGAGATACCTGTCTCCTGATCTCCCTCCCCTGCATATGGCAATCTGAAGTACCTTCCTTTTAAATCGCTGTAGTACAGCCAAAACTGTGCTCACGACCTGGGGTTCAATCCCAGGTAGCGGCTCAAGGTTGATTCAGCCTTCTATCCTTCCGAGGTCTGTAAAATGAGAATCCAGCTTGTTGGGGGGGGGGGCAATGTGTAGCCTGCATAATTAAATTGTAAACCGCCCAGAGAGTGCTTGAAGCGCTATGGGGCGTTATATAAGCAGCACACTTTGCTTTTGCTTTTTGTAACCTGTGACGGACTTTTCCTCCAGGAATCTCTCCAATCCCCCTTTTAAAGGCATTAGGCCAGATGCCATCACCACATTCTGTGGCAAGGAGTTCCACAGACTAATAACACACTGGATAAAGAAATATTTTCTTTTCTTTGTTCTCACTCTCCCAACATTCAATTGGAGTGGATG